GACGGGGAGTTACTTACCTCCAACGCACCCAGCGAAGAAGTCCAGAGCCATTATCAGCGGATTTTTGATATTTTATATAGGAGGACCCAAACTGTGAAAGAAGCAGAACATGGCATTAGGAATATCCTGAAGAAGAAAAAGAAACCGACACGCAGATGTAACAAAGTGTCTATCGGACGCAAGTAGAGACGACGCATATGGGCGCAAAAAGAACTATTCAAAGTGTAAAGAATGAATGATGGAGATCAAGAGTAACTTCATGACCGTCTGCCCCGGATGCGTAAGAGACGCGCGATTGGGGGGGGGGGGGGGGGGGGGGAGCAGAGACCAGCCGTCACGGTCAAGAACAAATTTTTATCTTCTCATTCGAAACTAAAGGCACACCGCCATTCGCTCACAGCCGGGACGGGTTAGGCGGGGGCGGGCGGGATAGGGTAGTGGAGCGGGGTGGGGGGACCATGCTGCGATGCTGCGCCGTGGACCGCCGCCGCCACAGACGGCGCGATAGACCAAGAAGAGTTGCCACCATCGCGTTGCAGTTTGTGACCTCGTTATGAACGGGGGCTTATCTCGGCTGATTAACTTATAATAGTCTCCTCGCACGGAAAAAAGTACTGGCTGCGTGTTCCGGGGGCGACATAAAGAGCAGCTGGGCAGCAGATAGTAGTCTGCTCGGGGCTGCGGGCGGGCGGGGCACCCACTCCCGCCCACCGGCCGGACCAGCCGCCCCCGCCGCGGGGTCCTTTGAGAGGGGCGCGCCCCTCCCACGCGCGGGTGGGGCAGGTGTGCGGGTGAGGCTGAGGCGAGTGAGATAGTTGCCCGAAACTATTCAAAACCGGCGGAGACCGACCCCCACCCCTACACCCCCGTATTCCCGTGCGGCCGGCCAAGGCGCGCTCCCACCCGCCCACTCAACATCAAAACGTTATTTTGACCTGGTTGCCCGCGAACCGCATTTCTGGCTACATCTCTCTTACAATTTCCTCCTTCACTCCCGCTACCGCAACCTTCTCCTCTCCTCACAAAGCCTGCGGCAACCAAAAGCAAAAGCGTTTACATCTACTGCGTCACAGCCACCCTCTCGCGGGGAAGGCCACTATGCTCTGCTCCATGGGACAAAAGAAAGAAGTAAATGAACACGCTTTACGACGTCGCTACGACATCCACGTGACACGCGACGCGTTTTCGGTCGGAGATGACGTCGGGTCGTATCCCCATGTCAATATTTCAACGAATCGGAAAATCTCGTCAGTCCATATCGGCGCGACGACGTCAAGATCGGCTAGAGTGTTATTTAGTGAGTGGCCGGCCTACGCACCGGCAAGGGGCCAAAACAAGACGTGTGATGCATCGGGGTGACCTCTGACCCCGCCGCGACGCCCCGCCACCATCCCGGCCACGAGCGATAATTTACGGACGAGCTCTCCTAGAAGCCTGGCTCGACGCGACGGCACACCCCCAGAAGCCTCCC